CATGTCTGGTGGCGCACGCACGTTTCCCCATATACATTTCTCTTGGGTAAACAACTAGAAGCGGAAGTGCTGGATTGTTTTGTGTGTGTGTATGTTTAACCTTAGTGGAGACTGCCAAATATTGTTTAGTAGTGTCTGAAGAATCTGGTAGCTCTACATTTTTACTAACTATTGGTATTTTCTGTTTCTATCATTTTAACTATTTTGGTGGGTATGTAGTGGAATTGTATTGATATTTTAATTTGTATTTCTCTGCTAACAAATGTAACTGAGCGCCTGCTCATATATTTCTTACTATTGACATAGCCCTTGTTTGGTGAAGTGCCTCCTCAAGTCTTTTGCCCATTTTTCTATTGAGAATTGTCTTGTGTTATAGAAACATGAAGACCTAAAAATGAGGGCTGGGTCAAATACATGTATTATCAATATCTTCTTTCATTTTATGAGTTGTATTTTCACTCTGCTATTTATGTCTTTTGCTGCACGTTTTTAATTTCAATGAAGTATAATTTATCAATTTTTACTATTATAATTTTTGTCTTAAATTTTTGTTTATGCCTAAATCACAGTGATATTTTCCCACTTACTTTTACTTATTTCATAATTATTTTATGTTATAATTTATTTGCACCATATTCTTTTACCTTATCCTTTCACTTTACTTTTTGTTGTTGTTTATTGTTTTTCTCCTTTTACAAAACTGATTTTTCTTCTGTTTATTTAAAATTTAAATAGTCGAAGTTTGTTATTCTGATATCTATCCCTAACCTCTCATTATCCATCCCTATGATTTTCTCCCCATAAATTTCTTGAGCTCACCAATACCTCTGTCTTCCTTGCAATAGGCTTTGGCATGTGCTTACTTCCACCTGAGGTGCTCCCAGTCTTTATGTTCATCTCACTTCCCACTGCACCTTAGAATATCTAGAATTTTAATTCTGAAAATGTCTGCTTGTGTGTATATCCAGAATTATTTTAAAAGTCAAAAGAGAAAGAAAGTAAGGAATGGAAAAAGAAGCAATGTAAGAAAAGAAATATATTTCTCTTTATTCTTTGGATAATTCCACATTTGAGTAATAGACTTAAAAACATTTTTTAACACTAACTTCCATTATCTTTCATTGGCTTTTTAGATTTCTCTTTTTGCTGGTGTATTTCTTGTGAGTGTTTTGAAAGAGATTCTGCAATTTTGCATGACTGAGAATATTTTTGTCTTTGCATTTAAATGAGTTTAGCTGGATATAAAATTCTTGGTTTAAAGTTTCTTTTATTCATGCTCCATTTTATGATTACTTCCATTGTATCTGTTGAGATATTGGATATAACCTGATTCTTTTTCCTTTGTCAGTGATGTATATTCTCTCTCTTGAAGCTCTTAGAAAATTTTCTTTTTCTATGATGTTATTCAATTTCAATAGAATATACTTAAATAAAATATACTGCCCCACCTGAATATATGCTTCTTAACATTCCTGAGCCATTTCAGTCTGAAATCATTAATCTTTAATTCTGAGAAACTTAATTTATTATTTCTCCAGATATTCCTTTTCATTTTTCTCTTCTTCCAGTATTCCAATTATATTGATGCTGACACTTTTACTTCTGCCCTCCAAGCTTCTAAACATTTATTTATTATTTTTTTTCTTCTTTATGCTGTTTTCAGAGAGAGTTACTAAACCTTTTAAAATCACACTAATTAATTTTTCTGCTATATTTTTCTTCTGTTCATGTCCTCTATGGTGTTCCTTACTTACATACTTTTATACCCAGTGACTCCATTTTCCCCCCCCATTACTGCTTGTTTCTGTTTTTCACTCGCCTCTCTTACTTCTCTGGGTATATTTTTTATGCTTATGTTAAATTATTGTGTGGTGTATTTTTTTTCTGCTCCATTAACTCTAATTCCTGTCATCATATTTTTGGCTTTTCTACTTTGCATATTTAACACTTGTGCTTTTCAGATGTCTTGTTACTTTTCCCTGTGAACGCGTATTATTTTAGGATGATCTGTTGCCTTGGTTAGTGATATGCACTGAACACCAGCAAAATCCCAGCTCCACTTGTGCTGTACTCAGAGGGCTGTGCCGCGATGGGTGGAGATTCCTCTGGCTTTAGGTTCTGGGTTCAAGCACCGCTTGCTTGCATGCTTCCTCTGCTCCTAAGCCGTAAAGCCTCGGAGTCCTCATGGGGTGCTCGGCAATTTGGCCCTCCTCTCAGCTCCAGATCCAGCTGGCTTCCGTGCTGTAGGCATACGTGTATTGAGAGTGGAGAAGGGGCGGAGGCAGTGCTGGAACGTGCTCAGGGGCAGGCCAGTCAACATCCGAGTGTCATTGGTCAGTTCCCTCCGGTGCTGCCCTGATGATAAGCACCACCTCCAGCTGGCCGCTGTATTTTTGCTTCATCCAGGGATGTACGTGAGGGAAGGTCCAGTAGAGAGCTCTCCCTGATCCTGAGTCTGGTGTGTGCTGCCTGGTGTGTGGTGTGTGGTGTGTGGTGCCACTTTCCACCACACATGTTGAGACCCAACCACCTTCTGTCTCCACACGATTTCTCACAATTGTCAGTGTAGCCCTTAGGGACTCACCAGTTTTCTTCTGTGAAGCCCTGTGCTGGTCCCCAGGGGCCTTCTGCTCATGTACGAGAGAATGTGTGGGAAGTCCCCACTTAGTTAAGTCACCCCTTGTATCTGTCAGTATAGATTTGTAGTATTCATTTTATAGGCCACTCACAATTGGGTTTACTTTTTGTAAATCAACATAACAAAAAATTACATCAACCACTTACACTCATATTTACAATGCACCAATCGTTGTTTTAGGAGGAACATATGTACTTATTCACTTACTCCTCATAACAACCCTATGAGTACATTTTTATTTCTCTTTTAAAAATAAAGAAACTAAGAAGCAGAGAGGTTAAGTTTGGGTCAAGACCATCTGGCCCCCAACTCTGTGCTCTTAATCACTACATTATAACTGACTTTTAACTTCTTTTTAACAAGCCTGACTCAACCCCAACACTATTTCTCTCTCCAACGTTTTTGTCTTATTTTTCTGCTTTAGTAAGCAATACCCTGGTGGGGTATTTCCCAAGCAGTTAGATTTGGGGAGTTGTTTGGGTAAGAAGAGATTTTTCGTGTAGGTCCATTTTTAGAATCTTTATTTAGATTATAACATTTGTTACTACAAAGGAAATTAATATTTGTACTAAATTCTTGTGATTCTAGGCAGAATCCCATCTGCGAATTGAGAATTTGTAAATGACTCAAGGCTCATTTCCTAGGCAGAGAAGCCAGGGAAGATTGTAATCCCTCCTGGCAAGATGGGCAGAATGTGAGACCTCCCGTCATTTGCAGCCTTCTCTTAGAAGCTGCCTGACGCCCAGATAACAGACAATCCATCACCCAAGGTTGAAGTCAAGACACAGGGCATCTGCATGGTTTGCATTTTTGCTGGTCTTCAAATTTGATAATGCTAACTTTTGCAACCTTCTAAGAGATATGGGCTAACAATGAAGTTCCTCTTTTCAATAGTGAGGGAAATATTGCATACACCAGAGTTTCCTATTTCCCACACATCCTGCAGGTGGCCACGTGTGGATGAAATGAAATGCCCACCGGGAAGAAGATGCTCTGTCCCCCAAGCTCCCCTTGAAGTGGGCTCTTAGCAGCCATGCTAGGTTTCTCTGGCTGGAGCCCTGAGCCAAAGGAGCTTTGAGCTGTTGAACTTGGCGTTAGTCCATGGCTTCCCCAAAGTCACATTAACGACCGCACTGGTTCTCAGCTCCCACGAAGCACTAGGAAAAAATTGAAAATGAAAGTTGCTTTTGGGTTTTGCTGCTTTCATTATTTCAGGATTAATTACTTTAATAATGAAATTTGCATTAGTACCTTCATGGACTTTATACGTTTTATCATGACCTGGACATATTTGAGAAAATTTAGAATCACAATATTATTCTTGGGTCAGCAACAGAACTGTGTACAGTTACACAGAGATAAGGAAAGAAATTAAGCCATATGTAAAGGCATAAGTATAACTTTTATAATGAGGAAATGATAGTGAAACAACACCACATATATATGGACTTATGGTGAGACCGGATCACATTTATCTCTATGATTCCCTGTGGCCTGCCCCTAAATGCCTACATTTCTTTCCTTTACCTTCTTCCTTCTGCTAACCATAGTCCCAGGTTGCACTGTCAAACAGCGGCGTTTCTTACACACTTGAGTTCGTGGCTTGGCGGGTGTCAAAAGGAGAACAGACGCCTGGGCCCCGCGGGTCTGTGCGCTTGGAGGGGAAGTCCCGTCTGTCTGCAGCGTCTCCTGGAAAGTTCGCCTTCCTCCTGGGAGCGCCAGCCTGACCCCGTGCCCCTGCTGCATCAGTGTGGGCATCGCCCAGTGCGCACACGCCCGCGCGTCACACCCTCCGACGTCAGTGCGGTAGATGCTGCCCTCCCACTTACTGGGTGGATATAGAAGCACATATATTTTTATGTCATAAGTCCTTTTTCTAAGTATTTTTATAACCGCATTTCAGTATTAGCTGGCTTCTTTTATAATCCCTACACTTTATTTGAGGAATTTAAAATGTTATTCTGAGACGTGGGCCGGGGAGGGCAGCTTTCTGACCTGCCCAAGGCGGGGACTGACCCCTGCAGGAGCTGGGCACCAGGCCCAGCGGCTTTGCCCACATCCTTGTCCTCCCTCTACCCACTCCCTCCTCCCAGGCCTGGGTCTCTGGGCAGGAATCTGCACCCAGCTGTGTTTCCGTCTTGTGCTGTGTGTGTGTGTTTGGGGGGGAGGGGGGGGAAGGCGGGTTACAGGAAGCAAACCAGTGCCTAACATGTCTCAGTGGCCCTCACCGTGGGCCACAGCCCTCCGCCCCCTGGCAGAGGCCGGGTCTGGCCTTCCGGCAGCCCTGCCCACAGACAGGCTGGGGAGGAACTAAGCAGTGTGGGGCGTGGCAGCGGCTTCCTCCCCCTTCCGACCTGTGGGCTTGGCTGTGGTCCCCAGGAGCTCGGGCCACACAGCATCCCGGCTGCTCTGCAGGGCCAGGAGCAGCCAGCATGGGCTGGGTGGCTGGCCTTCTGAGGTCCCTCCTCCTGCTCCTGGGTAAGTGGGGGTGCGGTGAGGGGGTGTTACTCTGCTGGGGGTGGGTGGGGAACTGGGTGAGCATTTGCCCACTCGGGCTCAGTCCCTGAAGCATGGCTGTGTTCCTGTGCTCACTTTGATGGACAGCGAGCATTGCTCTTGTCTGGTTCACTCCAGCTGCAGCTTACAAATGCTCCCGGGCCTGGGAGAACCGGAAAGGGTGATGTGGCAGGAAGAGCTCTGGGCTTGGGACCCAGACACCTCTGGCTGTGACCGTGGTGGCTCCATTGCCCACAGAGCAAACCTCAGGCCCTCTGAGCATCAGTTTCTGAGCCAATAGAACGGGTGATAATGCTTATCTTTTAGGAGAGTGTGCACATTAAGTTCAACTTAATCAAGTCAAATCAAAATAATTCCACAAGATGAGAAAGTGCAGGCCTGTGGATGCCCCTCTACAGCTGGTGGGAGCCTCTGTCAGGGAGGGAAGCGGCCGCCTTAGGCGGAGGCACCTTTGCTCCTTACCCTCTAACCCTGTGCATCAAAGAAGGACCAGGGCAGAGGCAGAGGCCAGCGAAAAGCACAGCCAGATGTGGGTGGAGAAGCAGATGGCCAGCGACACAGGAAGAAACCGAGAGGGGCAGAGGGAAGGCACAGAGGGACGGTAGAAATGTGCTAGAGGGAGGCAGGCAGGGCAGGCCAGAGCCACGCAACTTGGCAAAACCCCCTTTGCCAGCAACTGTTATGTCTTAAAAAGGCAATGGGCGCCTCATGCAGACAAGGGTGCTCTTTCCCAGAGCTCGCCCTGGGCCAAGACTCAGAGGCAAGCAGGCCGCCTCATGTTTCCCACACAGAGGGACTCTGAAGCCGGCAGCAAGCCCAGCAGAAAACTGCGGACAGCCAGCCGCAGCATCCAGCACATTACACATGGGGACGCTCCCTGACAGTGGCAACGGGGGACGGGAGGCCCAGAGAGCACGACCAGGGCCTGCAGGGCAGCTCGTGCCAAGTGCGCTCGGTAAAGTGGCAGAAGTTCTAACCCCACTTCTGCTTTTGACCTATTTAGATCATCTGTCCTGTGGGAAAAGGAAGTTAAGTTTAAGAAGCCCGACCCCAAATGTGCAGATTATACAAAGAATTACCAACCAAGCTCACCAGTAAGGAAAGAAGCAAACACACCTGAGGTCTCCCAGTGCCTCCCGGGCGTGCGGGCCTGCTGTCTCCGCTAGACGCTGCATGCGCTCACTCTGCCCACAGCAGCGGGAGCAGGTCCCGCTCTTGCCTGCACTTTACGGGGGAGGCTGTTGGGACGTGGCCACGGGGTCCCAGCCAGTGGTGCTTTCAGAACTCCTAGCAGAGATGTGGTTAGGAGTGAGCCTCTGGCCTAACCCCCTGAGCGTCCGCCCTGGCTGGACTCAGCAGCTCAGAGAGGGGCAGGTTGCTCATCTCCGCGGGTGCATTTCCTCTCTGTGACGTGGGGGTGCTGACAGCACCCCTCCCAGGGCTGGGCAGGGAATTCGCTCTGTCCCGCGTGCTGAGCACCCAGCCCGCAGCCAGCATCTGACACGGGCTGCACACTCACCACCGGATTCTCAGGGAACTCATTGATCCAACCTTCCCAGAGGCAATTTGGCAATAACCCAGAAATCCCAACTTCAGGGTTTATCTTAATGAAATAATAGGGCGAAGCTCCCCGAATATTTAATAGACTCTTACCCAGCACTGCTGGCCACAGTGAAAAGCAGAAACAGTGGTATCGGCAGGAATCTGGCTCACACCCTGTGCTCTGTGGTTTCAAACACCCAGGGTGTTTGGTGAAAGACACCCCCAGGCCTGATGCGAACCGAGAAGTGACACGGCCGCAGCCCGGCAGTCACGATGGTGCGGTTAGATTTTGCGGTTGTTTGCTCACCTAACCAAAGCCTGACTGCAAATGGTGAATACTATCCTTTATTCTTCATAGAAAATAGGATGACCTGGCATTTTTTTTTAGTTTCTCTGTGTTGGAATTTTTCATAATGATCATATATATTCATAATTCCAATAAATAAATTTCTGTGAACAAAAAAAGTATAATATGGCAGCCTATTGAAAGCAGCAAGGAGAAGGGTTTTCCCTTAATGGGCTGGGGGAGGGCCCTAGGGGTTACCCAGTACAACTTACTAATGATGACCTGGAGGCCAGGCACCCAGCGGGTCCCTCGGGGGCCGAGTGAGGGTGGGTGGGAGGCCTCAGGGACAGCGAGGAGGATCTCTGCCTGTCACCCCAGTGACATCAGGCTCTCAGGGGGGCCCCACAGTAATGGGACAGTTTAGAAACAACGGTTTTTGAATGTCCTAAAGGTGTCTTTGGTTATTAATCCTCACCTGCAGATATTTTTTCCATTGATTTTTAGAGAGAGTGGAAGGAAGAGAGGAGGGGAAGAAGGAGAGAGAGAGAAACATCAATGTGAGAGCGACTCATCGATTTGCCTTAACTGGGAATTGAACCTGTGTCCCTGTAACATAGGCCAGGACTAAAAATATTTTAAAAAACTGATCAATATAACAAACATTCATGGACCCGACATCATGAATTAACACATTTAAAACTTTGGTTGTTTTAAAGGTAAATGTATTTAAAAGTATCTAGATAATAAGTTGACATATTCAGCAAAGAAACCACATCAGACATGGAGTTGAAGCCTTTTGGCTCCCTCCTCTGTCTTGTGCCCTACCGCCCCCCCCCCCCCCCACGCCTGGGTTTGGTTGTACTTCCTTCCTGTGCCACGTTCTAGGTGGTAAAGACGTGACCTGGGTGCACGCAGCACACTCCACACGCGGCAGCGCCCACCCCATCTGACCACATGAACCAGACATACCCGTGCAGCTGCCTGTGCCATTGGTCCCGACACTGCACGTGGCTGCCTGGTCCTTTCTGGTGCTCGTGGGGCTGAGTGGCTCCTCGCTTTCCATGGCTGCGCTGCTGCCACCAGCCCTCCTGGTCCCGCCCCCAGGACTGGGACGCAGTGTGTGCCAGGAGGCGCACCTGGGAGAGGAGATGCTGAGTCAGGGTGTGCATGGCTCCCTTTATTGGTTATTGCCAAATCGCTTCCCACCGGGAGGGCTGGGCTCTCTGCCCCCCCACAGATCCAGCATACTCGGTGTGGTCAGACTTCTCATGCTTTGCCAGTGGGGGGATTGTAAAATGTTATTGCCAAGTTTTCAGGTTATGTGTTCCTGATTACTAATGAGAAGAACCATTTCCTATATTTACCACACAGTTAGGTTCCTTTTCTGTATATTTCATTTTAGTTTTATTTGGTTATTGGTCTTCTGTGTATTTTTTCTGGATATTAATTATTTGTCTGTGCCATGTGTTGCAAATATTTGCAAATATCTTCTCTCAGTATGTTGTTTATCTTTCATCTTCGTGGCATCCTTTGCTCTGCAGAAGTCTCTAAATGTGATATAATCAAATCTATGAGAGAGAGAGAGAGAGAGAGAGAGAGAGAGAGAGAGAGAGAGAGAGAGAGAGAACTTTCTGAGTCATTTGAAAGTAAGTTGCACACAACATGTTTGTGTGTGTGTGTGTGTGTGGTTTCATTTTAACCCCTAAAAACATTCATGTGTATTTCCCCAGAGGTAATCTCTTATATAAGCACAGCACAGCGATCAGCTTCAGGAAATTTAACAGCGACAAATGCTGTTACATAACCTGCCATGGCCCCGGCTGACCCACGGCGCCCTTGCAGCTTTCACTGCGCCTGAGCCAAAGCCCGCGGGGAGGCTGGGCACCGCGGCAGCCACGCCCGTCGCCTTCTGTGACCTCACATCTCAGCCTTTGCTCTTTCATGACATTGGCATTTTAGACCTTCCCTCCCTTTCTTTCACAGCACATTTTTCATAGAACCTTTGGGGCCTGCACGATAGCCTAATGGTTAGACTCTGGTTTCCCTTCCCCACCGGAGAGCGGCACACTGCCCTGTGCCCTGCAGAGTCACAGTGGAGCCACAGGACACCAGCTGAGAAAGGCTGGCTGCTTTGGGCATAATGACAGAGACTTACAACTAGGTTTTGGATTGTGCTTGTCACAATGCTAAATAAATTATGTGCAATTTAACCATCAACCGATCAATATTTTTAAAGTTTGCTAAAATATTGTTCTAAGAATAGCTATTGAAAACAACTGATAAAATTTTTAGACATTTTATTTGAGGTTTGCAACTTCCTTTTTATTTTTTAAAATATATTTTTATTGATTTCAGAGAGGAAGGGAGAGGGCTAGAGAGATAGAAACGTCAGTGATGGGAGAGAATCATTGATTGGCTGCCTCTTGCACACCCCACACTGGGGATCGAACCCACAACCTGGGCATGTGCCCTGAGGGGGAATAGAACCTTGACCTCCTGGTTCCTAGGTCGACGCTCAGCCACTGAGCCATACCGGCTGGGCTGCACCTTCCTTTTACAAAGCTGGCATGTAATATATTTCTATGGACTCTAATTCCAACCCAAATGCCAGCCATCTGTCTCCATTTTAATCCCGTTGGAAAGCACCCGCTGAAATCTATGCATTACTATAATCACGTTAATAAAAGAAATACAATATCACTTTAATTATGTTCCAGTTGCCTAAAACATCCTTCATTAAAGGAGCCAGAGTTATTGAAGAGAACAGCCTTTTCCCTCCCCTTAATTTATAATGAAAAGATGGCAGAGGCAGGGTACAGAGAATTAAATTCGTTTTTATCTTACAAGTCAAAGTCATCACTCTCTTCCTTGGCTCAGAGTCCCTGAGATCTTTGTAAAAATCTTTCCTGACAGCTTTCCCCGGCTCCAGGTTCCTGCCAAGAGGATGGCTCAGATGGTGTGCGGATTCCAGTGAGAGCGAGAGCTCCTGATGAATTGTTCCTTTTTCTGTGTAACTAATCACCACAATGTAACACAGGAAACGAGTACCTCAGGCCTCTCAGAGAGTCAGCCTGGGGAAAGGGAGACGCTGGGCCCCAGGAAGCAAGAGAGATTTCCTGATACGGAGAGACTT